GAAACTGTTACATTATTTATTATGTTTCGAAATGAATAGCTAATGAAGACGAAAAATTTTAACACAGGTTCATACATGAATCGTAGCGCAGTTTGATGAATCTCATCAATATTTACAAGATTCTGCATTATAAGCGAAAGATTTGACAGTCTTCTATCCATGAATTATTATATCATGGGATATTAACGACCAATTTATTTTATAGGGCAGCTGATTCAGAATGATGAAATAGATCTAAACCTTAAAGCTTCGAATCGAAAATCGTGCAGAATCGTTTGTAGTTCACGTGAATCAGCTTATAGAATTTGTGCTTGGATAAAGTGTGCGAGTGTGAGAGTGAGTAAGAGCCAGATATTGCTGAGATTGAAGTGAGGACCAATATTTTTACATTCAAATCTATACTATAATATTTGAGATTTGACAAGTAACAAGTTGAAACAGAAATTGATCCACCGAAGATGAACAAAGAGAAAACAAAAACTTGTTTGATGGATTTCTTTTATTTTAGGCTTGACAAGCGACATTTCATCCATCAACGAACTAGTCTTTAGATCAATACCAAATCTATTGGTTGATGATTAGGTAAAACAAAAAGTAAAATTTCATGTGTTACTATGCGTTTTATTTGATATCAAATTTAGAATTTTGCCAATTAGTGGTATTGATATGGTGTTCGTGGGTGTGGACGAATAGAAGACTGATAGTAACACCCACACTCTCGCACCAGCAATTGTATCTGAAAGTCTACATACACTCTTAATTGCGACCATGAAATATAATGATAAAATAGACTCGTTACAAAAAATATTAACATAAACAAACATTTGATATAGTATGGCGTAAGTAAAAATTTGAACATAGCAATTTATTCTTCCAGTATACGTAATGAATAAGAGAAACACGTTACATTGATATGCTTGAAAACATGTTGTGGGTATAGATACAACATTGGCTTGATTGCACGGCTTCATCTAAATTAAATTTGATGTTCTAAGTTAAGTATCAGAAGTGATATAGATGTATTTTGAACTCTCAAAAATCCAAGATATTTCTGGATAACCAAGTAAGTTATGATTTTTTTAAATTCATTCTATGCATCGAATTCATGCCTTTCCATGTCGAATATAATCTTGAGAAGGAATATCATCGTAACTTTTCTCTTAGTGATTCATGCCAATTTAGTCAGTCATTAATTTTTTGATTGACAATATTTCTATATTTGAATACGACCATATTGGTAACTAATCAAAACAATGACTTTTTGAACTCAAAATTTGCACAATCTTTGATATCTACCGTTAAAGGGATGTTGGTGTAGATGGGAGTGTGGATGTAGTTCTTCTTTCACTCACACCCACATCCACACCCCACACCCACACCCACACCCTACTTGACTCTCTTCTGACTTATGATGTTGATATTCATGTTCATCCTTGAGTCGACGAATAAAGTCGTAAATATGATGATGTTGCGAAAATACACTAGAAATTCGGTAATTATAGCCTTCAACAGCGTTATTTGTGCGAGGCAACTTGTTTCGAATGTTATCATAGACATTCCAGATATCAATGGTAAAGCGTGCAGATTCTTGACAAACATAATTTGCCATCATATAGTCATTAAATTCTTGAGCATCACGAGATTCAGGAGTATAAGCATCCATCGCTTCAGTCCATACCGATTTTACCAGTGATGCTAGAATAAGAGCCAAGCCAACTGCAGCTAAAAACCAATGATCAGCTCGCTTCTTGTCATCATCGAAAAAATCATTGCTGTTGGCATTGCATAATACTAGTCGTGTAAGTTTTAAATCTTGAACTTTTCGCCAAAAACTTTGTGAATAATGGAAGAAGCAACCAGTAATTGTTGTGTTCGAAAATGCTTTTGAGAAAGCATTCATTGCGGCCACTTCGAAATCACAAGTGAGAGTCTCTGGGTGATAACGAATGTTCATACGAGAACCAAGGGTGACGAGATGATTAAAAATCTTTTCATATATGATTTGGTCTTTTTTCAACGTGAGACAGTAGACGCATGGTATCATAAAACCATCGAAATATCCACAAATAATATAAATCTGAGCAAATAGTACAGGCCAAGTTAGAAGTGCCCCATCTGAATGCCATTTCGAGCAAGAAGCCAGATATTTGAGGCTCCAATCGGATGCAAAGATAAAGAGGCGCTCATTGTTATCTGAGAGACACGACAAATTAAAGGCTTATAGAAGCAAAGAAACCCACATGTTTCATCAACAAGTAGGAATGGCTCTCTGTGCTTCGTCAATTTCAATTCGCCTGATAAGTTCAGTTCCGGTAATGTTTTACGCAAATTTGGATAATTCATCGCTCGATGATGGTATAGAGTTGCGTCAACATTAGAAAGAGTAGGAAAGAAGAGCTCTGTGGCCATACCAGGATTATTCATTCGAGCAGCAACGATTTCTTCGCTGTGGGTGTGGGGCGTGTGGGTGTGGGTGGGGTGCGGGCGCGGGTATGAGTAAGGTGAACTTCTACACCGACACCTACACTCTACAACCACACCCCACACCCACACCCACACCCACATCCACACTCATACCCCCACCCCCACCCACATCCGCCAACACCCATTGGGGGGTAAGGGTTAAAATTATAAAATATATATGTTTTTTTTATATTTTTTCTTCTCTTAGTTCTCTTCCGTTCTTCAGTTTAAATAACATATAATAGTGGTACGGACGAAGATGAAAGCTAAACTTTCCTTACCAGTATGACCGTCTTGTCTGTGCCGGTATTATATGTTATTCAAATTGAAGAACGAAAGAGAATTAAGACAAGAAAATAAATAAATAAATAAAAAACATATATATATATTTTATAATTTTAAGTAAACTTTAATCATTTTATTTTCTGAAGAAGGACACCTTGTTGTACCGAAACGTCAAAATGTCTTAATAAATAAATTTTATCATCGTTCAAGGAAGAGAATTGCTTTAAATTATGACTTCGTTAACCTTCCTCACACGTAATTAATTGCACAACTTCGTAAAAAGTGGTTAAATAGTTTCTCATTAAGAAAAAGCTGAACCTTGAATCGAGGATTAATCGAAAACCGAAAGGCAAAAGTTGAAATTAGTAGATTGAATAGACTTTTCATTAGGAGATAGATCTGTTTGTTTTCAATTAATTCATCCACCCTCGTCCGCATTCAGCGACTGTATGCGTAAGTATGTCTTACAGACAAAAAGAGTCTACGTGTTCTCGAACAAAGAGAAGATGAGTAATTCTTTTTATACTGTTTAAATATTGTCTGCTCACAAACAACCCTTTAGCTACTTGCTTCTGCTCCATTCTACAATATGATTACAAGCTTTTTTTTTTCATTCATTTCTCTACAATAATCGGTGCTTATATAAGAGCAGCAGTATTTGTATAAAACCATAAGCACACATATTTTATAACTGTTACATATACTCGTATTTCTGCGCCCATTGACACCAGCCATATGAATAACATTAAAATTGTGGTTTACTTTGCGTGTATCTTAATATTTCTGGCTGAACATTGTCATGCGATAAAAGGGAAAAAATCACAGCAAGCTGGGAATAAACGTGGTTGCCTTAGTCTTGGTGCTGTTTGTAATAGCCATACCGACTGTTGTGGTCATGATGATCCTGAAAGCGGTCATTGTATTCTTTGCACTGGTATTCTTCCGGGACTTTTTGGTGTTGGCAGTCGTACCTGTGGTTGTAGTAAATTTTCTGTTGCTGGCAGTCGTGACACCGGTACTCTGACTGATATTTGCGATGGTAAAGATCGGTCTGGTAGTCGTGTTTGTCGTACACGTGTTGCTCCTCCTGGTCATATGTATTATCGTGGCGATGATTTCTACTATGGTCATGGGAAAAAACCTTAGTATGTTGTTGCAATATATGCAATTTCTATTCTAACTTATCATACTCCTTTTTTTAAATAGAATGTGACGCGAACTCGTCTATCTGCTGCCAGTTGAATGGAGTCGTCAATCATCATCCGACACAATGGGCATTATCAATTAGTTAGCACTCACTCATCTTTTGAATAATTGTTCCTTTTCTTTTTTTTTTCTTTCAATTTTCAATTTTATTTTAAAATAAAAGCAATGCTCTTAGGTTCTGTCTAGTTGCTCAAGTTTTGTTTTGCTTAGAGCCTATCACTGAATTTTCTGGAGTCATAAGTGTCATTTATATAGGGATTTGTTGAAAACCGTGATGTTTTTCAATGTCATCTCTTGCGAATTTGTATAGAGCTTGCGTGCAAGTCTTATTACGAATGCATATCTTTCACAAACACAGAGGTACGCTGCTTCTCTACATTGTCAACCCAAGGGAGAAACAGCGGACTTCAAGACTTCAAAAGACTTCAACGGACTTCAACCATAGTGACTTCATATTTTCACAAGACTTCAAAAGACTTCATAAGACTTCTAAAGACTTCCTAAGACTTCATAGGACTTCAAAGGATTTCACAAGACTTCATAGGATTTCCTGGGACTTCAGAGGACTTCAAAAAACTTCGTGAGACTTCACAGACTTCGTGAGACTTCACGGACTTCATGAAACTTCACGGATTTTGTGAGACTTCACAGACTTTGTTGGACTTCTTGAGACTTTATAAGACTTCATCAGACTTCATAAGATTTCATAAAACTTCACAAGACTTTGCCAGACTCCACAAAACTTCGTAAGACTTCACAAGACTTCATAAAACTTCACAAGACTTCGTCAGACTTCACAAAACTTCATAAGACTTCACAAGACTTCGCTAGACTTCACAAAACTCCATAGGACTTCACAAGACTTCAAGAGGCAGATTCTATGAGTATCAAGAGAGCTTATAGAAATTACATGAAACTTATATAACATGCAAAAAACAAAACTTATCATATAGAGATTACAAAAGTGTTTCTTGTTTCTCAGAATTATTTCTCGCAGTATATCTATATCTAGAATAAAGATGTGACAATGACACAAAGCATTGATGAAATTAAAACTGAGACAATAAACTTTACTGGTACGTGTATAGTTGATTCGATTAATCCAGCATTGAAAAACTTCTACTTTCAGGTTCAAATAAATAACAAGACTAAATCTATACACAAGCAAACGGTTGGTTGCTTATTGACCGACAAAGCTAGTCGTTTATCGGCTGATAGATTATCACGAGTGATAGAAACAAACCAAAAGGAATAAAATTCTTCATAAGACTGACATTCAATAGATAAAACATTTCTTATAAAAATAAATCACTTCATTCAAAAAGCATTCAGTTATTAACTATCATGTTTTCTAAGATCCAACAAACTTGAGTTTTTTTTCCAGCACATTGAAAAAAAATAAAAAGTTTCCCTTTCTGCTAAAATAAGACCATCGAAAACAAGACAATTTCATTGGTTTCTTATTTCTGCTCCATTTACTTTATCCGAAAAAGGTTTTTTTCGAAATACAAACTGGAAAATTTTTTCTTTTATTCTTTCAAGTTTATTTACTTATTGGAACGCGTCGGTATATAATTTAAATGAACAAACTTTTTTTTCTCTTTTCTCTATGTTTCTAGCTTCACTGTGGGATAGAACGAGTGAATATTTACCGGTCACACAGTATAAACCTCCCTGGCCACACTTTCTTGTTTCTTTAGCCAAAGAGGTTAATAGGAAGAGAAAAAAATATAGAAGGACACGTTTTCTTTGTCATCTTGAAGAATATACTATAGCAAAGAATGTGTATATAACGGAGAGAACGAAATATGAACAACAAAGGAGAGAAAAACAAATACAAAATATATCTAGGGGTTTAAATGTTTGGAAATTTGCCCGTCCATTTTTTCACTCTTATACACCTCCATTTAGAGGATTAACAATCGATAATGAGGTTGAAAGAGATACACAAAAAATATGTGATCAATTAGGTAATTATTTTGAACAGCATTTTTCTCCACCAATACCAGATTATGTAAATAAAACACATGAACATTCCCTCATCGTATATGAAAGTATTGCTTATTTACCAAATATGCCACTGAATATGATATCTTATGCACAAGTTTACAAAAATTGGAAAAAATTCTCTCCAAAAAAATCATTAGATAGTTCGAAAACATCAGCATATCTATTAAAAAAGCTTCCAGTTGAATATATGAATGTTTTCACTGTTCTTTTCAATAAATGTGCATCGAAAGGAAATGTTTTTGAAGAGAGTAAGCATGCGAAGGTTATTTGTCTTTCTAAAGAGGGGCTTTATCCAGAAGAAAACAAACTTCGCCCCATTTCTCTATTACCTAATATTGGAAAGTGGTTTGAACGTTGTGTACATGATCAAATTATTAACTGGTGTATTATGCAAAATATATTTGTAGATGAGCAATCTGGATTCACCCCACATCGTAGGTTGCAAACTAGAATATTAACCCTCTGTGAGGATTTGCGTCTTACAGTAGCAGCATGTAATCGCCCTGCATTAGTAATATTCATTGATTTTTTATCTGCATTTGATAAGTTATGGTATCCTGCTCTTATTTCAAATCTTCTTGAGTTAGAAATGCCATTGCCTCTTGTCCGCTGGATATACCAGTGGTTACAAGGAAGAACAATGGCAATCCATCATGGAGAATCAATATCTAGAACGATTCAGATTTTTTCAGGTGCTCCACAAGGTTCTGTTCTATCAGCAACACTTTTTCGTTTACACATCCATTTTTTACCTAAAACACTTGCGCGTTTTTGCTCTCATTTATTTGCTGATGATCTTGCATTAATAATTAAAGGCTCAATAGAAAAAAAATTTACACAAAATATTGAAGATATAGAACAACAAGCTAGTATAGCTATGAAATTATTAGAAAATTTTTCGAAGAATTTAATACTTCCGGTAAATATAAAGAAAACAAAAATGATGCTTATTCATAGTATTGTATCACCAAGTTATCCAAAAGTTTTCTTTAAGAATGAAATAATTGATATAGTTTCTTCGTTTAAATATTTAGGTGTAGAAATACGTACAAAAATGGGGTGGAGCTTTTTAATCAAAAAAAGATTAGATAAAATTAGAAATATATACAGTGCTCTAAGAAAAATGTTCAGAGTAATTCCCTTAGAACAATATGATATTAGAAGAAAACTTTTCTGTTCATTTGCTTTACCCCACTTTTTATGGTTATTTGTTATATGGTTTTATTTTACAGAAAAGCAACGTCAAGATATTGAACACGTATATTGTATAGGTCTTCGTTTAATACACAATCTCTGGGGATGGAACGATTACACTACATTAGTTTTAGCAAAAGACAGATCTCTTCTCGACTATGTGTATGACTATTGGGAGAAATTTATGAAACATCTTAGTACATCTCCAGAAGCAAGTGGGTATAGAGAAACATGGGAGGCATATCTTATATCTACATCACCTAATCGAAGTGTTTATAAATCTATGAAATTAAGAAAGAACAATTTTTTTATAAATCGTTATATACAAAGGGTACATCATACAAATCTAGATGTTTTTTTATTCTTCTGTATACATCAAAGCCAAAGAAATTATTTTAAAAGATCATCCTTTAATATTGAAAGATTCATTTATAAATATATAGATCCACCTTAAGATTCTATTGAAATTCTGAAAATTGTGAAATGCGAAGTTCTTTGTTCCAAAAACATAATCTATTATCATCTATCGACAAATTCTCTTTTTTTCTTTGTTTCTTTTCCTCTTTCTTTTCTTTTTCTTTCCTCTTTCTTTTCTTCTTCTTTTTCTTTCTTCTTTTTCTTTTTTTGTTGTTCTTATCTATAATCTTAAGTAACTGAACATCTTTTTTTTGTATTATATTGTACGTCATAGGAGGAAAGATACATCACATAAAAACGAATTTTCTTTTTTGTCCATTCCATGTGATGAAGTTTATACTCTTTTTTCTGTTATATTTGATAATTGGTAACCCTAACGGGATCAATAAAATTGTTATGTTAAAAAAAAAAAAAAAAAAAAAAAAAAAAAAATTTCATTGGTTTCTTATGAATTTTCATGCACTACCCAGGTCGAAAAATCTGACAGCAGATCTTGTACGAATATATGAAATCGTACAAAAAATCGTAGTCTCTGAAATCTTATATCAATTCTTACTGCAAGATTTCTATCAGATCCTACCCCCGCATAAGATTTTCTAAAACCTTACAGTAAGTTTTGGCAAGACAACAAAATCTGTCAAGAGTCTTACAGTAAGAATTGATGTAAGATTTCAGAGGCTAAGATTTTTTGTACAATTTGGTATGAATTGTACAAGATCATACATGATCAGACACAGAATCTTGTCCGATCTTAGTGTCTGACTGTTTGCCCTGTGATAAATGTATTTCAAAACTTCCAGAAGAATTCATGAGACTTCAAAAAACTTCAAGAGACTTCATGAGACTTCATTAGACTTCATTAGGCTTCATTAGACTTCAAGAGACTTCATGAGACTTCATGAAACTTCAAAAAACTTCATAAGACTTTATGAGACTTCATTAGACTTCATGAGACTTCATAAAACTTTTTGAGACTTCAGAGACTTCAAGAGACTTTGAACACTACATGAGATTTCACGGCTGAAGTCTCTGCTGTTTCCTCCTTGTGTCAATCCAATCCTCAGGCGAATACTCAATATGACCTTGCGATGACTCAGTCTTGAAAAGAGAAAGTTAAGATTAGTAGTCTGACTTTATTTTCTTTCTGCTACATGAAGTAGACTCTTGCTATGATACGGTTCATTCACTAATGCGTGATTGTATCTCTCTAGAAGAAGTTTTTTCTTTTGATTTCATTTGCAAATCTCACATTCATTTTATAAAGCGGAAGTTATGAATATCTATGCGGATTAATAGCTATTCAAACATAATAGAAAAAGCTTGAATCTTGATACTATTATTCGGAAGTAAAACCAGACGTATGATGAAAGAAAAGAAATTACAACGATTATTCATCAACATGAACCCCAAGGCATGTTGCTAAGGGTGTGGGGTGGGCGTGGGTGTGAGTGTGGGTGTGGGTGTGAGTGTGGGTGTGGGTGTGGGTGTGGGTGTGGGTGTGAGGGTGTGGGTGTGAGGGTGTGGCTGTGAGGGTGTGGGTGTGAGGGTGTGGGTGTGAGGGTGTGGGTGTGAGGGTGTGGGTGTGAGGGTGTGGGTGTGAGGGTGTGAGGGTATGGGTGTGAGGGTGTGGGTGTGAGGGTGTGGATGTGAGGGTGTGGGTGTGAGGGTGTGGGTGTGAGGGTGTGAGTGTGAGGGTGTGGGTGTGAGGGTGTGGGTGTGGGTTTGTGGGTTTGTGGTACGGACGAATGAGGGTGTCTAATCACTTAATATTCACACTCACACCCACACTACACACCCACACCCACACCCACCCACGCCTACACCCACCCACCCACCCACACCCCACAACTACACCCACACCCACCCACACCCACACCCACACCCACACCCACACCCACTTTTAAATTCACTGAGGATTTCTAAAAGACCTCATTTTGAGTAAGATCCCTAAGTTGAAGTCTTTTCTCTTCCCTGCAGTGACTTTAATAAACGCAAGGCTTTAGTTCACTTTTGCAGTGATTCCATCGTGTTTCACATTTCAGTATTGTAGGGATTGCTCTAAAAGCTGTTTCATCTTTATTTTGAGTTACAAAAACACTTAGGAATACTGTCACGATAACCATGAAGTGGATCCAAACCAAAGCAACCATAAAAGCCGCCACGAATAAAGTATTTACAGTCGCCACCACGACCATTATTCCAATCACAACAGCCATCACATTTATGACAACGACGACCACCGCAAACAAGACGGTCATCGTTCAGTTGAAAAGATTTTTGGATATTCGTTGATATGGCATAGTGTTTATTAGCTAAAGGAAAATAAGTAATGTTTCTATCGTAATTCAGCAAGCAAATTTCATTCTACTATTTCAGATACGGAGGGTGGAAGTGCTACTGATCCGAGAATGAGCGCACCTTTAGCAGTAAAACTGATTCTAAGAGATTTTTTATTCTCATTTGAAGAGTTGCTGAATATATTTTTCCAAGGGAGTATAGCCCAAACCCCAAGAGATGTCAAAATAGGTTTCATATCATATGAAAGTCCGCCGAAAACCGCATTTAGAAGGATAACTGATTATTCATAGGACGACAATATGCTAGCGTCAGTAATGATACACTCTGAAGCTAAACCAAACTTAAGATGTTCCTTCTAGTCTAACTGGCTTAAGATATCTGCTCGGACAGCAGAAGAGTGTGGGTTCGAATTCCACGAAGGTCATCTTTTTCTTCATTCTATAACATAACATCAGTGACACGGCTTGTCCTATAGCTCTATACATTTAGTAGCTAACATAATGGGCTATAGAGTTATGAAAGCTTGAAAATCTCGGAAATATGATTGGGCACTTCAACAAGTAAACATCCACGAAAAATACAAGTCTTAGAAAAACTTTGCGTCTATCAGACTTTATAGAATTCTTTGCTCATCGTTTTAGTAAAAGGTTTTGCAATTTGATAAATAAAGCTGTTATTTCAATCCATGTGGGATTAAAATGTGAAACACGATGCGCTACTCTTGATATTCACAATGGGCTTATTTTAATCTATCCATTTTGCAGCACATTTATAAACCATCGTTTTACTTGTTCTTCCAGAAGTAGAATTAGCAAGTAGTTCACTAATTATCATGAGGCGTTCTTCTCGTACGGTCTTTGATCTTATATCAAGAACATCTCGCACAGCCGGTTACGAGGTTCCAGGCTGTCTGTCCCAGTCTATGATAGGATCCTAGGTCATCCTTCATGGTGTGTGATGGGGTCGCTAATGAGTTACTAATTAGATATTTGTTAGTTAATTAATTAGACATCAATTAGTTAATTAACCATATACTAATTATTAGTTAATTAATTAAGATATCTGTCACAGTCTATGGGGGGATGAAGCAGCGAGGCGCGGGGGGGGGGGCGCGTTGGTTGAAATTTCTACCCTGTATACTTCAACACTCCTTTCAGATCGAGTTTCACAAAATGACGGTGCTAGGGTCAAAATAAGAAAAACCTCAATCAAGTCTATCTCTGCTAAATCGTGGTTGACTACTCGCCGAAGTACCCAATTATATTCTTGAGATTTTAAAGCTTTCATATTTCTTTCGCCCATTATCATCCTATGAATGATCATTTATATTCCTAAATACCGTTTTCGATGAGCTTCCATTTGGTATAAAACTCATTTTGATATCTCTTGGGATTTGACCTGTACCCCTCTAAAAACATTTTTGGCAACCCTGTACAATCAAAGTTTAATCGTAATAAGTATAAACTCATTTCATTTGCATATTGGGCACAAAAAGTACCCATGTAATGAAAATCGGGAGAAACCGGCGGTTTACCGTGACTTTACTGGTCCGGTTTCCGCCTCCTTTACAGAAAAAAACCGAGTTATTTTCTCTGGTTAACCGCCGGTTTTTTTCCATTTTACCGGCACTTTATCGGTTTACCGGTGATTTTTGATAGTAAACCGCGGTTAACCGCTAAAAGTGACCCGGTTTTTGTGACATGGGCACTCTTCTGGACTTTTAAACTCAGAAAAGATTTCTTATCATTTAGAAAAAGAAACAATTTTCATGAGGCACTCGAATTCATATCAGTGTTATCCGACCTAGAAAGATTGTCACTAGGTCGGTTCTGGTCACTTTGATTTTCTCCTGCCCGTTTCGTGTTCGAGTTGTGTCTTGCACGCGAAAAGACAAGGGACGACTTAAGTACGACGTGTGAATAATCCATTATTTGCTATAGCGCTGCACACTAGGTGAGATATGCTTGTCTATGAAGGACTTCCGGATACTCGACAAGTCTTCAACGGATTTTTGCTCATTGGTCGATGTCTCGAATCATGACAATTGCACTACGTCTTTGCCTATTTCAAGGTGTGGCTTGAAAAATCGAGTACTGTACGCTTGACATGAAATGTTGCTCGTACG